ATGGTGCAGACAAAACCTTTTAAAGTGCAACAAAATAAATCAATGAAACAAAACTCAAATACAATAACTATATCAAAATTCATTTTATTTTTAACATGCTTTTTGCCATTAATGCACAAGCACTGCAGTCATTCTAATTTCACCACCTCTTCAAACATAACAATCGGCACATAGATGTATGATGTAGCATGGAACAATACCCTCCACGCATCATGATGACACCATGTAAAACATGCACAAAATATACCCAACATATCACCCTGCAAGGTGCCATGGTAAGCTAATCATTAGATCACTAGATACAGAGACAAAATGACCCACCTAGACTGTCAAAACCTGTCAACATACCTATGTGGTCACTGTTCATGATTATGTAACCTTAAAGGGAAACAACACTCAAATTTTAAAAAGTATTGAAATATGGATTGGCCTTTTCTTCACTGATTCAAAATCTGCTTATCATGGACTATAATTTTGACTGGTTTGAATTGTGTTTGGCACTATTCTCGCTGCATGAAGCGACACCTATCAAACAATCGAAGAATGAGAGCCGTATATCATAACACAGGTATACAATAAATAGGTACAGCCAAACTGACGTGTTTTTGTTGATGATTAATGCATACACAACTTGAAATGGTGAAGCTATCTATCAATATCATATTATGAACAATAAAAAACTACATAGTATCCTTTAGAGATTTAAGGTAAAGGAACAGGTGATAACAAACTTGGTCGATAAAAATGTGACGATTGAAATAAATTATGACTAAAAATGATTATTTACCATCTAAATTGTATCTTCTGTTCTGCTACTCTTTGTTTTATATGTAGAAATATTGATTGCATTGAGTATTTTCTTATAAACGAGGCTGAAAATAGAAATCAGCTGTACATTTTCTAGCAATCTATCTGTGACTCGATCATAAAATACCAAATAAACATAACTTCAAAGAATTTTGATCGGATGAATTGTATCTGAAACTATTATTTTATCAGATTAATATATTCTAATATCGAGTTATTTTAGTTGCAACCTTTAATATATATTTTTAAAAATAATAATAAGTATAGCACTTATTATAGCCTGTAGGATATTATAACCTGTCTTCGTCTCTCAACTGTTCACGTTAGTTTGTTTCAGGTGTTTCACATAGGTGTCATTCGTCAGCTGAGATAGTACACCTGACAACTTTGTTCATGAAGTCCACGGTTCTTTAAAAAAATCCTTCAGTTAGATAATACTGAGCAATCAATCAACATATTATCGGCTAATCCTTTGAACAAAGTATGTTGTTTTTTCATAGACACTTCACGTCCAGATATACCGGTAGGTGTATTCCATCTGCTTTAGTAAACCTGCATAAACACTTACTTTTGACAAATCCTTTGTTAATCCTTTGATCATTCCGCTCTTGCTGCACTGCCACTGCATATTACATGTGATACATTCACAACATGGATTTATAACTGAATAATTACCCCAGATACAAGAAATGCCAAATGCGAACCACTGACTGCTTTATATCCTTGACACCCTCAGAGGCAGGGGTGAATGGTACTGAGTTATTTTGCATAGTCTTTGTCAGGTAATCTGAGTGGTTCTACCACTAGTTATACCTGTAATAAATTCATTAACTGAGCATCAAGTGAATGACAACTACACAGGCGTATGGTTATATCATGAAACATAGAGGACAAGAAGGGAGTAGTAGTTATTAGTGGTATTATATGCAATTTGCCTAAAAAATATGGGTCGTGGCTGTATATGAGTATATGAAGTTAACTTCATTGTTGTATTTGCTATATACTAAACTACATAACTGTACATACACATTTATAAACACTGACAGATTTTGCAAGATGAAAAGTTATAGTTAGCATCTTCCAATCAAATGAGAAGATTCAAGGGGATGTCATTGAGGTGGTACGAAGCACAGTTTGTTGGGTTGCTGACCATAATTAGCATCTGGTGATAACGCAGGCTAACTAAAACAGCGACATCTAGACGACTGAGAGTTGGAGTGTTGTTTCCCTGTAATCAGTGGTAATGACTGATATACAACTGATTCTCGTTAAAGGCAAATATAGGGACGGGCACAAAAGTATATACTTACATCCAGTTTGTTACTTATCTAACGGGGGTGTTCCAAACATTTTCACTCATTTACTACACTTCTAATATGACCTTAATGCACAGCCACAAAGTTTGATTATAACACCAAGAATGCATTCAGGGTAAGCATAAATGTCTAACTTAGAACCTATAACATCCTGATCTGACATCCACAACCAAAGCGTGTGTATAACAATCTTCTTTCTAGATAAAATGATAATTTGTTAATACATGGAGACAAAGGAAATGATCCACAATTCTAGTTTTCCAGTTTCAAGTTATCATGAATAAAAGACTGTTGGGAACCAACAAAGATATCCACTTACCCGTTTTTTCTAGTTATCCACTTTCCACTTAACAGTGAGGTGAAATGGGGTTTAACATCGCGTCTAAGATTATTGCCCTTATATAGCGACGTGCCTGCACATGTGTTTGTGTGGCTGCTTGTACTTGTCCGGACTGATGCCGATTTATAGTGCTAGCCCACTGAGATACCATGCTGCAGTTTAACATGAATACCCCACTCAGACACACTATACGACTTCGGCCCGACCAGTCATTGTTTTAGCCCCATAATGCCGAGGGCCAGAAGGGCTAACAACAAGTACCATCTTTTTACGTCTTTTGGTATAACGTGGCCGGGGTTCGACCCCCTGACCTTCCGCAATTCGGGTGAACAGTCTACCTCAGATGGGCCCCTTTCCACTTAACGATTAAGGAAACTCAAAATATGGTAACACTAAGCTGGTCCCATTGCTGTCAGTGGTGAAGCCATCAGAAAACACCTGCAGGATCAAAGGATGACCCTTACCAGCCAGGGCAGATCCTTCAGTAGGATGGAATGTCGTTGAGAAAATAATGCCAACACCCTATGGCAGGCTATAATTATGGAGTTGGAAGGGCTGGGAATTTTTAGAAATCCTGGACAAAACAGAAATAGTTCCCTGGACATGCTGAATGTGTGAAAAAAAACTGTATGACTTGATGTCAGAGTTGATTGATAAATATTCTATTTGGCCTCTAACATAATGTTCACGTGTGCCAACAGAAAGCAGTGAGATACATGTCCTGATATAAGTTTGAGAATCTATCATTGATCTGTCCAAAGTGAATGAATTAATGATGGTGACCGAGCCAGATATTATTCAAGCAGTGGGGACAAATCATCTGATAGTCAGGGCTTTGAGGAGGTTATTTTACACATTTATATATTAAAAGAATTAATCCAAGCCAAATCATTTCTAAGAATATAAAAATGTTATCTCTTTTGCCAAATACAGAATATGACACACCTTCAGCATTTTAAGACCTCCAAATATTTTATGCTATTATATACATCTGTTTTACTGATACAAATATGCAAATAACCTTTGAAATGTTGTATTTTCTGCCAAAACAGGTCCATCAACAATATCTAAGAAAATCTAAAAAGTAGTCTTGCTTAAAATACTGAAAGCTCAATGCTCTTTGACAAATCATTATCATTTTCAGGACACATATTTGAGTTTAAAAACATGATAGTCTTCACATTCCTAGAAATAGCTGATCATGAACAGACCCCTAACACACTGGTGTCTCCAGTGAAGTCAGGAATGCAACAGATGCAGACAATGGACACATCATCTTAATATATATAAACACAGAATATTTGTTCATGTAGAGACACCATTGTCTTTCAGTATATGTAAATATATTTCAGGATGAAATAATGGTAGACATATTCCAAGATTAAAAAAAGTGGTCACTTGAATATGATGGATAATGGAATATTCTACCGGAATGTTCTGGAGGTGAATGTTAAGAACATCTTCCGATAGAGGTAAAAGTGGCAGTAAGGCATGGGTCTTCATTTGTCCAGTCATTGAAATTCATTAAATGCCAAGGAATATGTCCTCTACAATCTGATTGTCAAGCATAGTAGGCCTCAGCCTGAAGAAGTACAACCAATGGTTGTTGCAGCCACAGCAGATGGATTTCTTTGTATAGATTGTAAAGTAATGTCAGTGACATGACATGAAGATGATTTTGTTCAGTAAGAAGGGAACCCAACATGTATGATGAGTTAGTGTTTTACCCAGAGTGAGCTGGTTAACTTTGAAAAGTACAGTCAAACACTGTTGTGTTGAACTTGGTTGTGTCAAACATTGCCTCAAAGAGAAATCTTGGCTCTGCGTATTCCTTCTTTAGTTATCATTTCCAGTTGTGTGGAACCTTGGTTGATTCAAAGAATTTACGTAGGTCCCTTCAAGTTCGACACAACAGTGTTTGACTGTATTTCAATCTTATCACTAAGTGTCAGCTTAATGTGCGAGGAAAGCACAGAATGGTAGGTGTTATGTGTATACCACTTTGGAAAAACCAGCAACTTTAACAAATTATCAATTATTGGTGTAGAAACAAATTTTGTTGTGATTATAACATATATGTAGTAAAACACATGTTCTCATTTACAACATTGGATACCAAAAATATCTTCAAACATGATACATGCCTCCATCTACATGGTTATATTTCCCAAACCAGAATCTTATATCCTCCACACATGCATGTCAAGATATCAATATTATTAAGTCCCCCCAAATCAGAGGGGGACTTTGTAATCAGAGGGGGACTATGCATTGAACAGTGGGAGCCATGACAGCTACAGCTCTAATGTCACTCTGTGAAATGTGTGGGGCACAGTTTAAGTGGCTTTAGATGGTAGTATCAACGACACAGCGAGTATTTTTTGTAGGAGCACAAAGCTGAGACAGATACTTAACAACAAAAATATGTGTGAGAATATTGACACACCAAACGAGATTCAGATATTTGGACAACTCAAGTTCTTGAATTTCTGTAATTAAGAACAATTTGACTTCATCCTACATGTCATAGAGCAAAAAATAGTTAAATTCTTTAATCACAGTAACATTCGTTGGAAATTAAGGAGGAAGATACAATCTCTGCATCAACATCAACTTGGCACAAACTGCGAATACATCAACCCAGTTGTAGAAATAGCATCCCCTAAACCAACAGTTTTAAGAGGATGCTTACATACTAAAACAGGACTAAAGACAAACTTTATCCCTTCCCTACTGAAAGAAACAACAGGTCTGGCAGGGTTGAAGTCCCTGTCCACATCACCTGAAAAAAGCTTATATTTAAGCGGTATTTTTATATCAAGTAAGTCAGCTGACAGATGGGAGACGTTGCAGGCTTGTATCCCTGCTATTCTTGTCCCTGCGGCTATAGAGGACTCGAGGTTGCGCCAGCGGCCCCCCACAGTAGCGCTGATGTGGTACGTAAGGGAGTGGAAGTGTATACGGGTAAGACGCGAGGATGGGTTATGTTCAGAGAGTCCGTATGTGTGGAGGAACCAGAGAAGGATGTCCGAGATCTTGTGCACCTCGGGCTGGGCAAGCTGGTGGTCCGTGTCTCGGCTGTGTGGCCCACCTCCTGCCCTGGAGGAGAAGACCAACTCTTGTTCGTTCAGGCCCAGAGAGTCTACATGCTTCAGCACCTACACACATCACATAATGCAAGAGTTAGTGTTTGAACCATTACAGGGCAGCTTCAAAACTACATAGCACTACAGTGTACAGATACTGGTGAGACCTCGGTTCTCACACAACTGATCACTTTCACTGGGTGATAATGAAGGAAATTGTTTCAATAACTGTGAAAAACAACCAAGAGGCATGGAATGAGTGATAGTTTTGGAACTGGAATACAAAAAATTTTTAGTCCAAGTAAAATCCTTAGTGCAATAATCTTTTACCATGGTGACTGCACTTGACATGCTAAAGTAATTTTCCAAGTGAATATGTGTGCAATGCAATAAAACTACAGATGAAAGTACCCATAAATCATGCTGGTACATGCTTCAGAATAATTCTCAAAATCATTTTCTAAATTTGAATTACATTTTCAGCCAGGCTGAGATGATGTGATTATATAACACACTTACGTTTTCCAAAATGTCTCTCACAAAGCTCTGTGTAGCCATGCTTGCAAACTCAAGATGAATGGGTACAGACGAAGGTATCTGCTGTAACCTGGAGGAGAGTAGTACTATCTTCTCACTGAAGAACTGACTGGTCTGACCATCAAGTAAATGAAGGCCTGACATGAGGATGAGGTCAGGGTTGAAACTGTCCAGGCTGTTGAAGAAGGTGTCCAGCATGGTAAGTCTGGAGTTGGAATAGTCGCAGCTGGAGATGAAGCGGTTGGCCACAGGGGCGGAGTCCTCCCCCCACACCTCCCCCACTTTGTACTCCATGATGAGATGGAACTCATCCTTAGAGATGAGACTGGTCTCAGGAATAGACAGAGAAGCGGGCATCATTTGTTGAAGGAGTGGGCCAATTGGACCAACAAACTGGATCTGAAACATCCCATGTTAATGTGTGAGGTGTTACTCTTAGCAATTTCACCACAAAGGACACAACAAGCTGTAAGCATGTGTGAGGGTTTCTTGACCTATGTGAGGTGAGCCAAGGGAATGTACAATGTACATGCCAACTTCAGACACTTCTCACTTGACACTGGTCAAAACTGTCTATCGAATAATTATTTGAATCTAGATAAGGAAAGACGGTGTAACCACAGATGAAACTCATAAAGTACTATTGGAAATACTAGAAAATAAGAAAAATCTAAATATTTTTTACATTTGGATACTTAATCTGCATCAATACCTAATTAATGCTTCTACTGCTATATTTCTGACATAGGAGATGGGAGCTGTGAGAGGTCTGGCTACGGAAGTTGTTGTGCCCACTAGTTGTGTGTCTTCTTTCCTCCCACAGCTACCAAGTGACCAAATCACATCACTGCTAGCAACAGACCATCTAAAAGAACTTCGCGGGGTGGTAGCAAAGAGATGGGAGGACGCTTCAGACATAGTAATGCAAGATAAGTATCCAAATGTAAAAAAAGATTTAGATTTTACAATTTATTTTATCTTATCCTGCATTACTACTTAATGCATCTTTATCAGACAGAACAAAGGGGGGAATTTCGGATGTTGTAGACAAAACTACCCACCAGTCCGGGTAAGCAGATAGCATCCTGAGCGGAGGAAACCTGGAGACCACAGACCTTCCTGTCTGATAATGCCACACAGGGTAGAGTAAGAGTGTAATAACTACCAGTGAGGCTGCAGGGTCAGTTCCAGGGTGTAGTAATCAGGTTAGCCTGGGGTTGGGGATTTGTTGCGCTACCACCAGGGGACTGAAACTTCAAACCCCTTGCACATCCTCAAGAGCCACGTCTCAGAAATAATGACTGGTGATGACAGTATCCGAGCGCCAGAAACAACCCTCCATAAAAGAGTGAATGGAACAATTGCTGTGAAGAGCCATAGTCAAAGCTCGATTCTCATGAGTGTTGTTGGCAAGGTGGATCCAAGCCTGCTAGTTCATACGTCTGCAGTATGATGGAGTGCAGCCACAGTGCGATAGTGTTTCGACTGACTTCCATTTTGGATGATAAGGAGACCAGAATAAATAATTCTTTCCGAGATCAACGTTGTGTCTTGGATCGACGAAGGAAAAATATAAAAAGGGCACGCACAGGGAACAAACGTAGTTGTCCTTGACTTTGGATCCCACTATTGAAATGGTGAAAGATCTGCCTGGCTTTCCTGGGAGTTGTTTTTTTGCGATGAAATCCAAGCATAGCACAAGATTGACAGCTCTGTGCGCTTCGTGCTCGAACTGTACTCAGGAGATGTCGAGGGCGTGTAACTTGCCAACTTGAGCTGCCGTAGCAAAGGCTAGTAGAAATACCATCTTTTTGGAAGGACTGAAGAAAGACACTGAGTCAAGTGATTCAAAAGGAGCGGTACGGAGTAACTTTAGCACCACGTTCAAATCCCACGCAGGGGGACAAAACTTGGCACGCTGATCCTCCAGTCAAAATGTGATTGAAGTTCTGGAATTTGGGTCATTTTGTGTCCATGGGAGCTACCAGCACCGAATTGAGGGCTACTAAATATGTAACTCTGATAATATATTAACACAAGAATGGGAATCCCCAGTATAAAGCCTTATACATGCATGTTTAATAGTTGTTATACTAAGTAGACAAGATCTGATTACCACAGAACTGGTGGAGCAGGGGATGGAGGTGGGTGTCAACAGAAACAATGGCGATTGTGCACGAAAACCACTAAGGAACCTGCGCATCACAATGCGCAGATGAGGTGTGCAGTGCGAGTTACTGCCCTTACATTCTAAAAATAACTACTATAGTCTAATTACGTGACTCTGTAACTGTAAGAAACATACTTAACAATAAATAAAGACTAGATGCAGTGTATAAAAGACACATGCCATCCTAAGGTACGTACTCATACATGTCATAGCAAATGTTGTGTGTCACCATAAACTCAACTCAAATTCCTGAGTACTAATTTATACTGACACACAACAGAACAGCAACATACAAATAATAATGATTTATTTATTTTGGGCTGGGGGATTCCCATTACTTATGTAATACAGCAAACCACTTGACCCCATCCTGAGGGGAAACGCCCTGCAGTGTCAAGTGCTGAGATGACCAGGCCTAGTGGTGAAAATACTAACATTTTGGGGCCATGAATATCCGCAACTACCGGCGGATACTCTGCCAAATGAACATGAAAGAATTAAGAAATATGCCTATGATTAATTTTTTAAATGAGAATCCCCCAAAAACTAACTACACAGAAGTAAACTGGTCATAGTCGTACAAGGATGTAACAAATGTATGCCCTATAACCAAGGTGGTAACTATTTCTAACCTGTATCCAAGAGAACAAACAACAAACATAAGAATATGTAGTGAACTAACATGTGTATTGGAGTCAAGAAATATGCTAAATAATCATGATAATACATTACACTTGAAGAAAAGGTTTACAGATGAATTTAACATGAATATATACACTGGGCGTTGTGGAGAAGGGTATTATGGCCAATGTTAACAAAGATAAGCCATATCTTTTTGAGCCCGCCACAAAACATCTTGAGGTGTACGTATATATCTGGTGTAACAAGAAGATGACCACCGACCAAGGACTTGTATGAGGTGATCTGGTACTTTAGCACTGGCTGCTGATGTAGCGGCTCCTATTCGAAAGGAATGACCATTGTAGGCATTGTCATTATAACCACACAGTCTTAATAGTTTCTTCAGTTGCACGATGAAATATGTCCTGCATAATACCTTGCCATCTACCGTAACAAATAAAGGATCAGCACTATGCACGGCATAGCGATGGCGTTGAACGAGGTAGGCTAGCTACAGGGCATACACAATTGCCCGTGGCTGTATAGGTGATGGTTACTCCTTTCCGGAATGGATCTGTCTTTGACGCTGCCAACAGCAAGGTGAATGAAGCCGAGATCTTGGAGAATTGCACAGCTCTAAGGGTAAGATTGTAAACTGGATTAAAGTTGTCAGTGTCACAAGCAAATTCTCCGCAACGGAGAAAGCCGAAGAACGCCAGACAACACACTGCTTTCAATAGTCCACAGGTGTAGGGATCAAAAACACCATGATTTAGAGCCATAACAATCTTAGCTAAGATAGGAGTTGTTATTGGCAAGCGGGGTGATGTGGACAGCCCTTGATGTCTTTTTACCCCCTGCACAATAGTTTGCAACCGAATTAAAGAACCGGATGTCCAAGGGTTAGGTAAACCTACTTGTAAATACCTAAACCGAATGCCACACAGGTATGATTTAATGGTAGAATATCGTAGCAACATTCTACGGTAACAGTGAGCCACAAATCTAATGAGAATGTCTTCCGAGATAGGAGGTAAAGTAGTAGTCCACACGAACCCCTGCATAGTCATGAAGGTGAGAAATGCGTTAACTCCTGATTGGTAGACCTGATATGTTCTGGTAGACACAGCTGATGACCACAAAAGTTCGATGTCTGCCTCGATATTTCCTCCATGGGTTACAGGTACATCAGGTCTGTCAGCTGAGGACACGGGGTTGGGTGACACTCTGCATCTGGTGCTAGGTGACGAAATCTGGCTATCTGCAATCGTGAGAGAGCATCACTTATAGCATTATCCACACCAGGAACATGTTTAGCACAAAACACATAATTCCATTGAATAGCATGTAAGGTTAATTGTCTCATAAAACGCATGATAAGAGGGATAGGGGATCTGCCTTTGTTGATGATAGCAACAGTGGCCTGGATGTCACAGTAGAAACACACACACTTATTTGACCACAAGGGTCCCCATAAATGGGCAGCTGTCACAATGGGAAATAACTCCAAGAGTGCTATTGACAAGTTTACTCCTGCCAAACTAAACAGTTCTGTGGACCAGGTGGATGAAAACCATCTGCCTTGGAAGAAACCCCCATATCCAAGAGATGCTGCCGCGTCTGTGTACAACTGAAAATCAGGTGAGTTGATAGTGTCTGTAATAAACATGGAGACACCATTCCAATTTTGAAGAAAGTAGCGCCACATTTGGAAATCCAGCAGGCAGTCAGCTGAGAGATGCACAATGTCCCGTAGGTTGGAAACCGAGTGAGCTACCCCTAATAGGTATCCAATAAAACTTCTGCCTGGTCTAATGATGCGCATGGCAAAGTTCATGTGTCCCAGAATCACTAAGAGATCCCTCTTAGTCACATGGGTTTTCTTGATTATATGGTCGATCAAGGTGACAATTCTCTGCACTTTCTCCGTAGGCAGGCGGGCCTCCATCCGAGAAGAATCCAGGGTGATGCCAAGATATTCTAGGCATTCCGAAGGACCAGCTGTCTTAGCTTTAGATAAGGGAATGTCCAAGTCATGAAACATAGTGAGCATATTGTTCATAATAGTCTGTCCAAGAGAATGGTCTTTGGCGAAACATATGAAGTCATCCAACAGATGAAGAATGAGTGGTATCTGGTAACAGTTTTGGGCTATCCAGCATATGGCTATGGACAACTGATCAAATATTTTTGGACTGGACCTACATCCAAACACTAGTCTAGTGAAGTAGTAAAACTGTTGGCGCCATTTAATACCGTGAAGATGCCACAGGTCAGGGTGGATGGGTATAAGTTTAAAAGCATCTGTGATGTCAGTTTTACACATAACAGATCCTGGCCCAAGTTGTTTGATGACATTGATGGCATCATCCACTGTCACATATGACAAGGAATACTTGTCCTTGTCGATCAAGGAATTGAGGCTGGGATTCACACAATCGTCGTGAGGAGCCGACATATCCACAATCAGTCTCTGCTTTCTGGAATACTTTCCTTCGACCAGTCCAATGGGGTTGATGCGGTGAATTGGGAAGGGTGATATATCAAACGGACCAATGAGATAGCCCCTGTCTCGTTCCTGTTGCAGAAGAGTGTCGACAGCTGCCGA